GGACCAGCTTCCCGCTCTTCCAGCACTCAGGGAAGCGTCCCGACGCCAAGCTAGCGTCGAACACCTCCCCGAGGCGGTCTGCCATGTGGTTGAGGGCCAGGGGCCAGCACTCGGGCCGGTACCCCGTCTGGCCCAGGGGCGGTGTTCTTGGAACGGATCCGTAGAACAGCCGCCCCTACCTCCGATTCCCGGACGGGCGGAACATTGTCCTCCCCGTGCTCCCCGTCGTCTCCGGCCAAGGAGGCCATCGACGGGGGAGTGTGTTCCGCCCGTTGTGGGAAAAGGCCCTCAACCACTTCTCGCAGGAAGCTGGGCTGGAGAGTCTCCGTAAGGGGGGGGCCCGACGCGCGGAGCTTTTGTCGCACCGCGCGGTAAGGGCGACCCCAGGGGTCACGATTAAGACCCTCCAGCATCTCCTGTCTTTTTTCTTCTTTGGCGCGGCTAATGGCCAGCTTCAGAGTTTTCCGCGCCCGTCGGTACTCCTCATGAAGCCGGTCCTCCTCACCGTCTCCACGGTGACGCCGCCGACTGCGCGTGTAGGACCTCCGGGCACTTGTACAGGCCGCACGGAGGTCCGCCAGCTCCTGGGACCACCAGTAGACCTCCTTCCTTGGAGGCCGACGACCTCGAACGCGGGGCATGGCCGCATCGCATACATGCGTAATCGCATCGCGAAAGCGGCCAGCCCCCACGTCGACCTCCTCGGTCGGAGCCTGAGGAGACAGCCACGAGTGAATTATGGCTGCCTCCTCTAGTAGGTCCCGGTTCAGCCTGGCAACAGCCCACCGCGGAAAGCGGGATAAACGCCGCGCCACGTGACCCCTACTAGAGTCCTGGGTCCGGGAGAGCTCAAATCGGATATACAGGTGATCCGAGAGCGTCTCAACCTCTTCCAGGACACGCCAGTTCCTTACTCGTGCGGCGAGGGCAGGGGTAGCGAACGAGAGGTCCACTATCGACCCCCCCTGCTGTCGCACGCACGTGTTGGTGGAGCCTCTGTTTAGAAGACAGAGGCCCACCGAGGCCGCCCACTCCTCTACGGCCTCGCCCCTGGCGTCCGTCCTGGGGGAACCCCACGCAATGGACTTTGCGTTGAAGTCCCCCAGCACAAGGACGTGCCCAGACGCTAGTCGCCGTATCGAGGTCTCCAAGCTGATTAGGAAAACCTCGAAGTCGTTCAAACTCCGGTTGGGGGAGAAATAGACACCATATATGGTGATCCCCCCCCACTCGACGGCAACATATCCAGTGCCCTTGTCTCTTAGCGACAAGGGCGGGGAATGAGCCGTCGTGGAACCGACGACTGCCACGGAGCCGTCCCAGTCACCCATCCAGTTTGGACGGGGAGGGACAGAATAGGGCTCCGCGACTACGGCAACACCTATCGACCACTGTGCCATGGTTTGCAGGAAGAGATCCTGCGCCGCGGCACAGTGGTTCAGGTTCGTCTGGACCAGGAGGTTGGAGACTTGATCCATTACTGGATCGTCTCTACAACCTCCTCCATGGGCGACGACGTCGACGCACGAACTATATCGGAGGCAGCCTGGGTCGACTGGCTAACCCCCGACGTCTGCCGAGAACTGCGGGGAGGCTTGCAGCCTCTCTGCCCCATCTGGTGATTGGCGGGCTTATTGCCCGCCGCACACACTGGGCAGTGAGGGGCGGCAGAGCATTCTGCCGCCTTATGCCCCGGTTGACCGCAGCGGAAACACAGTCCGCCGCAGTCAAAACAACTGTCACACTTGACGCGCGTGTGTCCCGCGGCCAGGCATTTGAAACACCTCATCGGTCTCGCCGCCAGGACTGTGATCCTGGCGCTCACGAAACCGATGAGCAGCCTGCCGGCGTCGGCCAATACTTTGGCCGACGCTACGGGACAGCTGACCCACACGGCGCCAAGCCCTCCTGGACCGGGGCGGATGGTGCCGACCCTGACGTTGTCCGCGCTGCACCCCGTCTTCTCCCGGATTACAGCGCGGACATCTTCGGCCGTCACAGAGTCGTCCAGGCCCGAGATGCGCAGCTCTGCGCACTTAGTAGGCCTGGCGATCTTTACACCATCCGTGGCTGTAAAGAGTCCCCGCAGCTTCTCGGCAAATGTGTCCGCCGTCTTTGCGCCTTCAGCCCCAGGGAACTCGAGGACTCGAGCTCCCGTCTGGGCGAGGCGCATCCTGACCCCCACCGTTCCAAAATCGTTGGCGAGGCTGTCCCGGGCCTTTTTGAAAACGGCCGCGTAGGACAGCCCGCCGTCCGCCGCCTCCGGGGACACGGTCACCACTACAGCCGCGGTTTTGGGCGGCTGCAGCTTCCGCGGCCTCTTTGTGGAGGCCGTTGCCACCGGTGGCGAAGGCTGGGCTTGGGCTGCTTTTTTGGCAGCCTTTTTGGCCCGCCTTCGGGACTTCTTGGAGCCCCTCGCCTCCTGCCAGCCCTCGTTGGAGGGGGCAGGTGCGGAGGGGCCCGGCAGGGGTGTCGGAGTGGGGAGCGGAGGGAATGCCACTCCGCTCCTCGGCGCTGTTCTAGGCCCCGTCTTGGCCGGCGCCTGGGGATGCGCCCTGGCCGGCGCCTTAGCCGGTGCCTTGGCCGGCGCCTGGGCCGGCGCCTGGGCCGGTGCCTTGGCCCCCCTCCTCGGCTTTTGTGGAGCCGATGGAGTAGGGGCAGACGCCGCCGCCGCGTAAGAAACGCGGCCTCCCACAACGGGGAGCGCGGTCGGAGCGGCGGCCTTAGGCCGCTGTGCCGACGCGAGCGGGGGGCGCATAATCGGCGCAGGAGGCAATCTCGCCTCCAGGCCAGCCAGGCGTCCGTCCAGCATATTCCCAACTGCGATGAGGATTTCTCGCAGTTGGGAGTCAAATGCCCCTGAGTTGGTGGTAGGGGCAGGCTGGGACGCGGACGGGGCTTCCCGCTCGGGGAGGTTCGCCTGGAAGCGGGCGAACTGAGCGCTCAGCTCGTTCACCCGCTCCGTCAGCTTCTCGTTGGCCACCTGCAGGCGAGAGACGTCGCCCGCTAGGCCCTCCACGACCTCCGACAAAGCGGAGGAGGAGTCCTTAAGGGCCCTCACAAACGAGCCCTTAAGGTTCACGGATTTGGTGGCCACCTTGTTGATGACGGCCACCGCCGCTTTCGCCCTCTCCTGCACGGACACGGGAGCCTGGGGGGCATTTCCCCCCACCGGCTCCCGAACCTTGAGCAGGAGATCCGCGATCTCCTCCTCCGCTACGGCCTCGCCGTCCACCCGTACACTTCTGTAGGACTCCGCGTTTGAGAACGCGGAGCCTGACGGGGTTAAGACCGGGGCCGAGGCCGGTTTGCGCGCCCTCCCTCGGCGGCTGCTTGCCACTTTTGGTGGCATCATTTCGCCGGACGTGTCGGTACCCTCCTCCCTGGAGCGTCCGCGTTTCCGGCTGTCGCTTCGCTCCGCTTCCATGGCCTCCGCGCCATCCGAGGAGACGGCGGATCCGGAACGAATACGATCCGATGCTCTTCGGCTCCCAGAGACCAGAGTCAGACTGACTTCTGGGAGCCCCATCGAGATAGGCGTCCCCGACGCCACCTCACCCTCAGTGGACGACCCATCCGCTCCACTGTTCTGTTTCTCCTTCCTTCGGTTTGCTTCCTTTTCCGTTAGGCTTGCCTGTTTTCGTTGTGTTTGTCCGATCGTTTTCTTTAGGTTTTTGTTAGCATTTTCCATGATAAATCCCACGAGTGGGGGAGAACTAAAGGTCCACCCGGGCAGAGATCCCCCATTACCCGGGCAAGCGTAAGTTTTTAACCCAACCGAGGGGTCCGCAGGTACCTCGGCTTGGAGTGCGCTCGCGACTGAACTTCCCATCAGCCATGCATCCCCTGGCCACGCACCAGAACACGGGATTCGGGGAATTTTTTAGAGAGGTTATCTTCCTCGCGGTCCGGGCGGTTAAGCCAAGACCCTCGCCCCCGATCAGAGCCGCGAGACTTAACCACAGCGCTCTTCTCGGGATTGCGATATGCCGACGGTTGACACGGAGACTACGTCCCCCTGCCTGCTCGGTGGTAGTGTGAGTACACGCCGAGCCCGTCCTCCTTTCTCCACCGCTATCAGCGGAGAAACTGTGGCCCCTACAGGGCCCCGCCATCAGGTTTTTTACCGAGGTTTCCTCCTCCATGCTCCGAAGAGCGAAGAGCCAGCAGGGCAACCGGCAGACACGCCCACCCTGCTGGACCAGGCCTTGCCCGAGAGCCGATGAACGGCTGCCTCTTCTGCTAGAATATTGGCCGCTGGCGATAATCCTCTCCTCCAAGAGGACAAGGAGGAAACAGTACCATCGCCAGCGTTTCCAGGGTGCACCACGAGGAGGTTTTCTAGCCCAGCACCCCATGCTTTAAGCCTACCCTAACCTAGTTTAGGAAAAAGGGTCAGAGGAAGAAAAGTACTTTCTTATGTCATTAGTTAATATCAAACTTGCACCTGCATTAGATACTAACAACATTTACAATTATTTATAGTTCAGTTTGTTGCCAGAGGATTATCATCTACTGTTGTGGTCTGTTTTCACTGTGTAAAAACCAAATTAATTCCCACAACAAACAAATTAACTTATAATTTAAAAGATGATCTCACTATACTAGATAGAAAAGACATTTTATAACAGTTATTTTCCTTATACTGCTGTCATTGAATAAAGAGGAATAAAAACACTTCTAGTGAAAGGTAGATGCAATATCATGATAAGTACTATAGTGATTACCTGAGCAAAACATTGATAAAAGATATAGCCCATGTGTAAACTATTTATCTTATCGTTAACAATATTAAAATTACATTCACACGGAATTACCTAAAGTCGTCATAATATCAATAAATTTTGTGGCTTGTTTTAAATAGAAATTCATTAGCATACGAATGACTCCATGATCGTAGTTTGTTTGTACATAGGAGTAAAATTTTTTATGCATACGTTGAAGGACAAACATGAAACATAACATTCACTACAAAGCCACTAAAACTTTACATATCATACCTCGATAGATTCTTTGCCTCCCAACTCACAGTCCTCTTGGGCAAACATTAGGGGTATAGATGCCATTTTTAGGTTTGTTATCACAATTTTCTATATTCTAAACAAGTTTTCACACAAATTATCGGATTTACTTGCGTACGTCAATTTTGCTTTACTCCAATATCGTACCCGTACGTTGTTTTGACGTTTCTCAAGAAATCAGGTGATTTGACTTTTTATTGGTACTTTATCGCACTGAATACATGGTTTTTAGCAATGTGTTCAGTGTGCAAAAGTAATTCGTTAGTCAATTTAATTTTATTAGTCAAGTTTAGTCAATTAAATTTAATTTTCTACAACTAACTTTCAAAATCAAAAATCATGTTATAATATTCGGATACAAATTCTGAATAACATGAGATCGTTTATGCAACTAAGGTAGTCCGGCCAGTAGGTAGTACTCGTATATGACTAGCTGCTACCCACGACTTCGTTCGCTTGGAATTTGAAAAGCGCTGCTTTAATGGTGTAGTACCGTACTCGACTGCAGTCCATGAGGCTTCGAGTTCGATTCCCGGACCGGGCAAATTTTTATAGAGTTTTTCAGAGAGGAAAAAAAATTAGTACAGCTGTTTTAAAGATCACCGAGAACAAACAGACAGACACACAAAACATATTTACGAGTATACTGGTTTTTAGGCATAGGTATCGTGCAAATAACCGTGTAAGCATGAAAAATCCATTATTTTGACATTACAAATAGGCACTTCAATTTGATTTATTTGTATATCTAAAAAAATCTACAAAGTCCGCAATGACGTATGTCTACCATTTTTATCTTTTACATTTTCCAAAAAACTATGGGTCATTTACGAAGCTATTTTGAACAATACAGTATTATTCCTTATCCAAATAAATACGTTAGATTCGTTGTGCATTTAATGTAGATCAAAATTGCCTTTTACATAGGTATATCATTGAATTAGAACATAAATGTTCTTTTTAAATAGAACAAAAGCATAGTAACATCTGCTATCTATCTGTGGATGTAAACAAACAAAAAGAAAACGTTGAGGGTTCTATGAATGAGCTTCTTTGTGTGTGTGTTTTGGTTAATTGTGTAATTATATTTTAATCGGTACCTATCACTGGAATCTGCATGTGTATTTATTACAAAAGACTTTTGTTCTGAGAGTGCCATAACGTCATCCAAATTCCAGATAATATTTTCTTCTTGTATCACTATGTTTTATTCTTTTTTTACCAGTTTATGTAAATTTTGAGTGATTGGCACCAATATTATTTTGGCCTAAACCAATTCAATAGGATTTAGTCGGAGTATTTTAATGCCGTTGTCTTTAGCAGTTTCAATTCATGCTTTTGTTTTAATATGTTTAACGTTTATCCAGGTTTCATCAAGAAAGTATATAGTTTCATTTCATACTCGGTATTTTTATTTCTTTGGGATATTTTCGTTTAACCGTTTTTATCTTTTATGTATTAGAAAAAAAAGAGTTATTTATGCCTTTATGGGCTATTTTAAACAATACAGTATTATTCCTTATCCAATCAAACAAGTAAGATACGTTGTGCGTTTAATGTAGATTGAAATTGCCCTTTACAGCATTTCATTAAGATGAATATCTTAGAAGTTTTCAGAGATTTAAAATGCAGGGGCAAAGCGGCTACCGGGTCGTACGTCCCATAGCTAGTAATTTCAAATACGCCGCAAGGTCTTACTTTTTTTGATACTGCACTCTTCGCCTGCCTCGAGAATAAAATGATATGAATAGTTATAATGTAAGTACGTCATAATGATAAATCAATGGAACATTATGTTCGATTGTTACGAAGTTCTATTGTATCTTATATAAATATAAGTATTTATATTATAACACTCAGTCGAATATTAAATCGCTAAAGGGTAACAAACAATCAATCACATATTACTTGTGTTCATTCCAGAGAAAAAAAGTAACTACAATTGGTTTAACATTTTAAAAAACACCGCTAGACAGCGGCTGTAGTAAATCCGCACTTCAACCAAATTGAGTTTCATCGCGACTGACAGTCAAGTTCCGCAACACAAAATCAAATTCCAGATAGTAAACCTATTTATCTAAGCCAATGGACTCTCTATATAACTAAGTTATTTTCAGTAAGGTGATTCAGTTTTCCAATAAAACGTTCGTTTTAGGCTGTGGTTTTAGGTCATTCTGTTTTAATTGGGAAATAAGACGGATTTGCGTGCACGGGAGTGTGTGGGCAAGTTTTCGACAGTACGTGCCTGTAGTGTGTATATAAACTATCATTCTGGGTCATTTTCAGACCTCCTCCTCGCCAATTTTTAACCTACATCAAAAGAGAAGGCTCTCAAATAAAAATCAGCTATAATACTTTTATGTTTGTTACCTCGGAACTACCGTCATTAATGTACCGATTTGAAAAATATTTTTTTTTGTTTGGAAGGGTTCTTCCATTCTGTTCGATCTCTGAGGGTGCAAAAGCGGCGGTAGCCTAGTGGTTAAGGCGTTGGACTTGCGATCAAGAGTACACCGATCAGAGTGTTGCGATCAACACTACCAAGTACAAGCAATTTAGCTTAGCGGGAGGGGTTAACGGGAATACTAGTAATTTCGGTTGCTAGTAGACTTTAACTAAAAAAATAAAAAAAAATGGAATAAAAAATATACAGTTGGACAATGAGTATGACGTATGACGGCTCATTAAATTCGTTGATACTTTGTTCAACCCAAAAAAGACCAAGAAAGAAGGTACCATTTGTCGTATCACCTCGGTTTGAGAGCACCTCCCTAACTGCCTCAGCCAGCATCGAAATCCTAGGCATCGACATATCGAGCGAATTCCAGTTTCGGGGTCACTTAGAGGGTAAGGTCAAATTGGCCTCGAAGAAGCTGGGTGTGCTAAACAGATCTAGGCAGTATTTCACTCCGGCTCACCGCCTTCAGCTCTATAAGGCGCAAGTCCGGCTGCATATGGAATACTGTTCTCATCTCTATGCAGGAGCACCTCAGTACCAGCTTCTCCCTCTGGACCGCATGCAACTCGAATCGCATACGACTCGAATCGCCGATTGCCCAAACATCTCCGATCGGCTCGATCCCTTGGCGTTACGTAGAGATGAGGCTTCACTCTGCATTCTCTATCGCATATATTATGGAGAGTGCTCCAAAGAATTGTTCGGACTAATACCATCCGCAACTTTCCGCCATCGTTCCACACGGCAAAATTTTCATCCTCATCACCTGGATAGTTCGCGCTCCACTACTGTGCGCTTTTCGAGACACTTTTTGCTCCGCACAACCAATCTGTGGAACGGGTTATCGTCTGCGGTATTTCCGGACCGATACGACCTTCAAACCTTCAAGAAAAGAGCGTACTCTTTTCTAAAAGGCCGGCAACGCGTTTGTGACTCTTGAGTTGCACACGTTCATGGGCGGCGATGGTCACTTTCCATCAGGTGACCCATCTGCTCATCTGCCCCCTCTAACATAAAAAAATGAGAACATAATTTTTTTGTGTTCGTGGAAACGGCACTCCATGTATAATATAAGTATGAAAGTATTGATTAAAGAATTGTATAAATACATACATTGACTAACGCTAATATTCGAAGGGTAGGCAGAGTTGTATTCAGCTCCCACATTTTGCCTATTATATAGGTAACTTTTGCTAATTCCATTCTCGTAATTGGGGTTAAGCCTGTTGTCATGGAACTACCACCGCCCATGAACACCTTCTTCTCAAGAGTCATTAGTGATCCCTGCTCTTGGGAGGGGGTTTTGGGTCCAGTAACATCACTCCCTCGATGAATAGTAAGGAAAAAAACATTTAAGGCCTTTTTTCTGTGAGGCCATGGTGTCACCCTGGTTGAGACGGGCCATTTGTGACGCAACATGAGCCCTCCAAAGGTCAAATAGTTATCTGAACTGTTCTAAGAATCAATGATAACATGTCAATTGGAACTAACTATTAAACTTTCCCATTCCATGATGTTTAATTACTATTACTAAATGTAATGGGAAATTATATAACCATGAATTGCCTGAAGTATCTGGCTGTGGTCACAGACCGTCTGACTTAATGATGCACAGCCACCGTCGTCGAGTCTGTTAGGTAAAAGATACTGTATCCACTTGCACATTTTTGATATTTTTTAGTTTCGCCATGTACACCCAACAAACGAAATATCTGTCAGGTTTACATGTGTGTGCTACCTACGTCTTCACGTGTGTGACTTGTAAACAACTCGTTTATTCACTTGTACATTAGCAAATTATAATTGTTTCACGGCTATTGTGAGTTATTAGTTTCAATTTCTCTAGAAATAGTTAGTTAAAATCAGAGGCACTCACTTCGTACCACTAACGAGGCTATTTTGTTTGCCATGTCCCTTTTCATGCTATAGTAACAGTATCCCTATTCTGTAATAAAACTGGTCTATAATGATTAATTAATCTATTAAAACTGATATAAAACTCATTTGTTCTTTAATTAAATTTTGCTATGTTAACCGCTTCTACGTGCGGCATAAGGTTCCGGGTATTCTCATTGTCTTCAAATTTAATTGGAATTCCAAGAAGATCTCTCCATAGTAATTTTACTAACAATCTTTTATTAAACGGTAATTCAAAATATTTGTACTGGTGGAATGTTGGTTAAGGGCTAGTATGGTGCATTTATTTCATATACGAGTATATGATCTAGACACCTACAGTAACTTTAATACAACTCAAACACTTTTTAACTGTTTACTTTGTCTTACAAGGAATACCTACAGATACAGTTTTACGCGTGAGTCGCTTTAATTAAGAGGTATTTTTCTTTCCTTTATAAAAAATACTTTTTCTGTATGAAAGGTCCTTTTCTGTGTCTCTTACAACGAAGGCGTACAAACTTTATTAAATGTATACTAAACTTGTTCTCAAGTATCTGTAAAGATGTAAGAAGCGGTCGTATTGCATTGATTGCCGTACGAAAACACGGTACTGGCGATAACACTACGCTAGTCTGGCTTAGTGTATGTATATCAGAATATATTCCTACTAAGTAACAGAACAATGTAG